TTATTTAACAACCACCTTTTGAATCTAAGTAACAGCTAAATGGTCAGCCAGCCCTGATAGCATGTCAAGTACCTGTGTGGCTTTGTGGAGCATGAGAAGAGAAGCAGGTTTCAGTGAACACGACGAGTGCTCTGTGTTGGCCGAGCTTACGGAGGAGGGGCTTCCCTGCTGCACCTGGGAGGGAGAAACATTCATCTGATAAAAGCCTTAGATTGTGCCTTAGTGTGTGAATTTCATTACAGTTATTTATTGAGACCTGCAGATGCCAGTCACGATAAAAAATTAGACCAATCTGGCGACAGAAATCTGAAGGTAAATGATAACCAGGAACTGTAGACACTCATGTACTATTAAGAAGTATGTGAGGCTTACATTCTCACAGAAAAAGCACGATAAAAAGCGTTACAAAATTTAAGAGTTCCTGAGTGATTCATTTCACTTGAAAAGATGAAAGGCCTCCAGTTCACACAAAAAAAGAATCGAACAGCAAAAGGCACGTGGAAGAGGTTAATCTAAACCCTTCTCTATTTTCATTTGACTGTCAGTATGTGTGGGGCCATTTGCATTTATATCAGTATATTCATTTCTATGATATGGTCCTCCTTCATGCATATTGCTTTCCATCATTTTTGGTTTTGGGAGGAACTTTGGCCAATAATGAAAGATTTCAACACATTTTATAACGTCACAACACACTGATTCAGTACAAACAGTGTTTACAGATGACATCAGATTCTTCCCACCTGTAAACAAACTTAAACTACTGTTGTTAATAGCAAGCACGGAAGAGAGAATGAAAGAAAGAGTGTTAAGTGGTGAAACAGCACAAAGCAGATAGAGCAAACATGCTCACCGTGACAGGGGGATTGGAGAGGGAGTGTTGTGGGGAAGAGCGGACCACTGGTGGAATTCCCCTGGCGGGGCTGGTACCAGGACCGCTACCTCCCGCAAACTGACACACACGTAAATAGAGAAGAAGAGGAAAGCAGTTCAATGTAAAGACCAAGATGGCTAAAAAAAGAGGTTAGGAAAGTAAGTATGAAAAGTTAAGCATCCAATAATAAAGCATTTTTAGAGGACGTGGTTAGACAGCAAAGAAACAACTCATTTTCTGTCACTTACCTCAAAATAATCACTAATTTTATGTCCCCTTGCTCCTGCTTTGCCTGAAAAAGAGAGGCAGGGAGCTCAGAAAGAGGTTGATATTTGGGGTACAATGCGTGAGTATCATGGCAGCTGGGACAGTCTTACCTTGGCTGTTGTCAAAAGGGTCTGCTTTCCGTTTTCTCACTCTCTGATCATTCGCTTTTTTGTCAGGAGTCTGTCAGGAAGGTAGGGTGAATCAACCACACGTTCAATGAGGTAACACAGGAAGACGGTTGGCATATAACAATCCTGTATAAATGCAACAGACTTACCTCTAGCTCTTTGTCACTGAGTGAGCCAACACTGCATAGACTCTGATTGGATGACTCATTTTGGTTCTGACCCGAGCCCTATTAAAAATGAGGTAAAAGTGCATTAAAATAAAGCACAAGCAGCAACTAAACGCAAAGATGCATCAATGTAGGTTGAAAATATTATCTTTAAAATGCATGTGCACTTGTTGTGCATGCATGCACCTGTGAGAAAACACACAGTAAAATGGGCGTGAAACTAAGGGAAGGGATGCGGAGGTTTGGCTCAGTACCGTCACCATTAACTTCCCACTGAATCTAGACCTGCATCAGTCCTAATGTCGGTTCCCTAGGTGATGCCTGTCAGTCAAATGAATCACATCAGAATTCAGCTGGCACTGTCCAATCAGGGAGAGATACTTAGTCATTCAGAGCACACTAGAGCTCTCTCACTGAACCCTCCTAAAATGGCTGAACATTAGGCATGCTGCTGGGGATGTATTCCACCCTCTCTCTGTCACCTTTAGATAATGTCATCCATTTTTCTCCTGTTCAGCATGGTCTTAACCATTCTTGTCTTCACTCGCTCTCTGGAGAAAGCCAGTGAAAGATACTTTGCTTGATCTAAGAATGACAACTTGTTTGATCAGACTTGTTCAAAAGGAAATGCACTTTCCAATAATTTTAGTAGGCCCTCTTCTGTTCCATTACCAAAAGGGTGTGCTAGCTTTTTGTCCTCAAAATGATAACAACTTCTCTTTCTTTTATGCAACCTCAGTGATGACAGGGAGAGCAGCAGTGCCACGGGGCTGTTCAAGGTCAAGAAAAAAAAAAACTAAGCTAATCTGTGACATTGAAGGGCTTTTAGACCACCAACCCACATTTCTTCAAAGCCATTTGTTGACACTTCTCTCCTACGTTTCCCCCCTACACACATCGAATCTCTTGTCATACAGGGTGGCTGTGGCATAATGCCTTAGCAAGAGCCGCCATTTTCTCTGCGGCAGCGGCCATGCCATGCTCTGGGCTCAGCTCTGCCTATGGCTGGCACAGGGCCCACTCCTGGCGCCGACTCTCGCTCCCTAACTGTTCCAAGATCACCTTCCACAAAGACAGCTCCATCCATGTAGCAAGCAAGAGGGTGGAAGGCTAAATGCTGCCTCCACTCACACCTGGTCATGAACTACTTCTGCATTCCTCATCTGCCTTCACTCCTCCTCTCCCCCCCCCACCACCCCTGTCATGTCTGTGGCCTTTTTGGCAGGCAGTGCCACTTGCATATACAGCCACTGCATGAGCCAGGAAGAGATGCCATATCACACCAGCCAAAACACACAGACACAGCTCAACCTTCTCCAGAGACAGACAAAGAAAAGGAGTGGGGCCAAGTTTGTACGGGCCAAACAGCAGAATGATACTGAGGCGGAGTGAGACAAAGGAAGAAGAGATTCACAAAAATGTGTAATCAAGAAAATCAGTGATTAGAAGCACTTTGACAGGAGCAAGCTCTCATGCTCCACCTTCACGACATCTGCTGTAACACAAACCTTAGCCACACCGACTCCAGTGAAACGAGCCTCCAATAGCTCCTGCCGTCGGGGGTCCAGGCTATGCAGTTCTTCCATCATTGCTGCAGAGACAAGAGCAGAGATTAAGGAAGGCGTTGTGGGGTCTGGTATATTCAAATGGGAGTGACGGATCACTGTTTAAAAAGGCATTGGTTGTGATGAGTCATGGCTGTTTTTAGCTATATGGATGTGGAAATTTCCTGCTCTGAGTCATCAATAAGGCTGACAATAATGTTTTCCACTATCATGTGTGTTTAGCAAGCACATGCAACTTCAAGCAGCACTATCTGGCCCAACCTATAGCCTATAAGGACTGTAAACATGCATCAAAGATGTAGGCCAGATATGTAGAGTAACTGCCTGGAAAATTATAGCATCATGTGATAACACCCTGGCATCATAGGCCTAAATTGCATGGCACTGGAGTTATGAAAGGTCACTAATGTAGGGACTGCCAAGTATAGTCACAGCAATGAAAAAGGCCACAATGGACATCAAGTGTCCAGCTTGCTAGATTGTGCAAAGGTTAACGTTTAAGTTACACACCCAACATTGACAGCTATGTCTGTTATCTATGGCCTGTATACATTAAATGAATACCGTTAGTGTAACCTGCGGCAACCGTGTCAATTTAGGAATAACTGTTACCTTGTTACATTCTAGTACAACTTTATCGGGATTGGGCTTGCTGGCTCAGCTAACATTATTAATGGTCACTATAACGATGTGAAACATCAGTTAATGTTCAGCGAGGTAGCAAGCTAACATAAGATAAATGAGCTAACAAGCCTACCGATGTTTGCATCACTTAGCATTGCAATCTAATAGCTAACGTTAGCTAGTTACTAACATTAGATCTGATTTTGTCCAGTAACGTATCCAAACAAATAAATATGTCATTAATGTTACCCCAAACATAGTTGTCTCATTAGATAACTACTCAATAAAAAATATCACAACTACTGTCGGCAGCAGTAAATGTTTTTTTTTTTTTTTTCTACAAACACTAAGCTAGCGTTAGTTAGCCAACAGGCTAGCGTTACTCGTCTGTCAAAAAGAAGCATCTTCTCGGTTGTGTTGTCAGGTGCTTGTGCCACGATGCCTGGACTCGCTGTAACAAGAGACCTGTCCATATAAATCCCTTTGTTCGACAACCTAACGGCATACTTACTGCAATTCAATATTTTGTCGGTCCTCCGGAGGGCCTGTTGTTAACCCTGGAACCGTCCCCGTTGTTTCCCCGGTGCTCGGCAGACCCTCCCAGGCTAGGCCGCATCAACAGCCGCGTCCCTCGCGTGCTGATTGTTAACGATCAAGACAAGGGATGGCGGTGTGTAGCTCAAGGTAGACGACGGCGGATTCCCTCGGAGGCCTCGACAACTCCGGGTATCCCAAACCCGCCTTGCTGCACTCCTTAGGCGGGGATGCCCATCACATCCCTCTCTCCAAGGACCATACCGTGCCTATGTCGGCTATCTCGTTCCACACAATGGCGACCCTCGAGATTCTGCGTTTTTTCCACCAGGTATAAATTATGTCTTTAGGATAGCGTTAGTTACCCCTATCTTGTCCCCTGCGGTGGTGAGATGAATTTCGGGTCCTGGCTTTTAGCTCGATCAAAACAAAGTTCGGCTCTAGTCGCCTTCCTCGCTGCAGGGGAGAAACCAATATGTTTCGGAAGTTGTGCTGTTGCAAGCCTTTCAGTTGAATCCGGATCGATTCGGGTCGGTTCTCATGTTTTTGCAATGTAAACAATAATCAGTAAATCTCATATTTTCTCGTGAGATTGTTCAAGCATTTTCACCTTCGTTCAGTCCACGCCTGCCCCAAATCTCTTGTCTGGACCAATGGCAAATCCCTCTGTACACAATACAATTTGACAGCGCCCACCCGCAACCACCAAAATGATCACTTATCAAAAAGTTGCCATTGCCATGATGGTCACACCCACACATTGCACTCACTTAATATATGCTGTTGCCCCCCTCCCCAAAAAAAAACAGCCATTCAAGCATTAATAAGGGTTCAACGATCATTAAGTACGTGATTAATTTATTAAAGCACTTTTGAACCTTGGGAAAATACCTAAACACTTAACAGATTGGATTTTTATTCACTTTGCATGTACAAAAAAAAAAAAAAAAAAAATCACAGAGTTGTCTTAAAAATCAGGCAATTTATTTTAAAACATCAGCTTGTTAAAAAACGTCATCTGGCAGAATAGAAACATACAGGTGTAACCAGCCCTTTCTCAGATTACTGAACTTGTCAGCAAAAAATTAGAAATCATCACTCATAGATAAAATTACAGCACTATCAAGAACACTAGCCGTAAAACGAGTCCATCAACATTATGGCAGGTGAGATAGTCTAAGGCTATCCAGTTGCCTCCCCTTGATCACAATCACAGGGCTTCTCAATTCCATACATCCTCAGAAAAGAAGCCAGCACAGCCTGATATGAGCTCCTAGTTTCAGTTGGTAGAAGGTCAAGCCAGGCAGATTTCTCTCCTCTGTCTCAGCCCTGCGTCTCAGGTGGCTGAACTAGAGCCTTGCGGTACTTGCACTGGATCCACACCCTGTACATAGTTAGCTGTTTGCCTCTATTCACCTGTAGCCGTCTGTCCACAAGGTTCTGTACTTTCTCAAGCCCTGCCTCAGTGAACACCTCATGGAGCTCATCTGAAATAACAAAGAAGCACAGAAATATTTTCATATATAAATATAGTTTAAGAACAATTCTGCAAAATAATCCCCAAACACATTTAATTTTTACCTTGAGTAAAGAAGTATACTCTTGTTCCATCCCCTCGGACATAGAAGTTTTCTGACAGACACCTTCCTAAAATAAGTAAAAGGAACATAACGTATCTATTATTGTACAACAAATAGCAAACATTAAATAAACACTTATTCATTAATACATTGCCATTTTAATATGCAGTGGATCATTAAAAGAACTGCATATTTTGACAGACCTTGTGCAGCCAGACTTTCTATTACTATCCGCATTAAGTATGGTTTGGTATGGTCCATAATATTTTAAAATATTTAAGAGCAGCATAATTTGACTGTCATTTAAAACACCTAAACCCAGAAAGTTGCTCTGGTATGACCTTATGCAGCAGTCAATTCTGAAACAGGGCTACCAGAAAAACAGACCTAAGTGTAACACAATTTCAAAGATCAACACTAGTAATAGGCCATGAATAAAAGACCTTTCTGCTTTTGGATGTTCTGAACGAGACTGGAGCCTCGCTGGACTTCCTGACTAACCTTTCTTGAAGCGAAGCTGTGCCATATCATAGCGCCCATAGTCCCTAAGCAGCATCACTCCCCCAGGCTTCAGCAGCCGCGCTAATCTGCTGATGGATGCCTGCATCCTGAGACAGGGTGAAACTTTAAGGCAACCAGTGCTATATTCAATGGGTCAAAGTGAGTGAAAACCAAAGACACGAGAAGAAGAAAGACAGCAAAAGTCCTTACTTGTTGGGATGCAACGCTGATAACACAAAGATTAGCACTATAACATCAAGGGTTCCATCGGGGACGGGGTAATTGGCTTCCACATCACTCAAATCATGAACAAAGGCGAAGCAGCGCCCAGGGTCGTACTCTGGATTAGTCTGATGAAAAGAGGGCAATGTTAATCCATCAATTAGCCCACAACCCTAGAGATGAATACATCTATCAGCACACCATACTTTCACTATTCCCATCATCTCACCTTGACTAACTCCACAGCAGTGCTGGAGAAATCGCAGCAGTAAACAAAGAGTCCCGGATCACTGCAAAAAAGCAAGACTGCAGTTGTACCTTTGAGTGTACATCATTAAACAGAAGCAGAGAACTGTATTTGTCAAACATGGTTTGACTGCACTTACTTGTTGGTCTTCAGTATTGGAAAAACTGTATTGCCTACACCGCAGCCAACCTGTCCAACACATGAATTCAAGTTTTTTTTTCCTGACAAAAAAACAAATATCACTACAATTACTAGAAAATGCATCTTTCCACGAAAGTTGCACAAACCTCACATTTATTTCAAAAGACAATGTTTAGAAGGGAAATAATAAGGGATACCACAACGTGAGCCATGTTCATTCAGTAGCAAAGCAGGAGGCTGCAACCTCCTCAACAGAGGTAAACATAAAAGCAGAGATTTTGCTTTATCATTAAAAGTTTAGCTAACCAGCTTTCAAATGAACCGCTCACCTCCAGAATGCGATATGTGGCAGAGAAGCCAGGGATGCCGCCATCTGTGTGAGACATAGCTGCAACTTCTGTTCTTTGTTCTTGATTCAGACTACCCTGCTGACTGTCATCTGTGCCAGAGACCTCAAGATGGGACTCGTGGTTAAGGCTACACTGCGGGGCCAACTCTGGGAACTCTGTGAAGAGCCAGTGACGGTCCTTGAAGAAACGATTCTCATGAATTGTGTAAAAATCATTCCAGTACTCATTTGCCCGGCTGTCGAATTCCTCTGCAAAAGAAGGTAAGGCAGTAAAGCCAGAGTTAAAGTCATAATCTAGCACATTTTGCCATGATTACAAATCATCACAAACAAGCTCAATAAGACAAGTACTATGCATAAGAATTTATTGTGGTTTGCCTAAAGTGAAATATCAAAGACAACTGTCAAAAATTGATAACAGAAACAATGTTATGTAGAAAAATATAGTCTCCAACAATGACGAGGTCCATTTTGGTATCTTTTCATACACTATTCACTTAAAACTTCAATGAAATGGAAATGAAGGCATATACAACATTGAGGACCGCGGTCTTCCTAATTAGAAGCAGTTGGCAGCTCTGTTACAGATGCCAGTCATACTATGACGTTTATGTGTATGAGACATGAGTCTTGACAACAATAATGCAACCTTGTTTCTCTGAAGGCAGTGGCTGACTGTTTTCCAAGACTTTCTTCTTAGCAGATGCTTCTTGTTCCTCAGTCCACTCCACATTGTCCCTGTTGACAACAGAACAACATTGTCCAGTGTGGGTCAAGTGATGTGGTGAATGACAACACAGAAACACTTGGACAATCCCAAGACACTTAACGTTAAATGTTTTCATGTGATATTCAGATGGGGGATGATACATAATAACACATCTTATATACATATCTGCCTACATGTGCAAACTAATAAACTGATGTTCATCAAATCAACAAAACAAAATAGGCAAAGACATTTACTGGTTAAAAAAAATGAACAAAACATCAGGTATATTGTTGATTTAGACAACAGAATGGATTAAGACGACTGAATTCCATAGTTTTATAAAAAAAATAGTATTACTTATTAGTCAGTTATAATACAGTATGAGCTGTATGACCTGATAATATCATATTTTCCCCTTTAAACAGGCTAATCTGTCCTTTGCTAAACACCCTATCAAAACAACAAAGTTTTAGCTACAAAACAATGACATTAACATTTGCTTGTTATTAGCAACAATCAATTCAGCAAAAGACCATTCATTTAAAAAACGTAACGTACTACTAATGTAACAGTTAACGTTAATGTCCCAGCCAGGAGACACTGGCTCTGTGCACCAACATCTGCCAGCCCTGTTAGATTTTTGGACAACGTTACCCACCATGCGTTGTGTTGGAAGACCTGCCGCGGGTCTGTGAGAAAACGTGTCCCAAACTGAGGTCTCTTCACATCTCCGGTGGTTGAATCTGACAGAAGCAGCCCTGTTTCACTGCTGCCTCCCTCCACTTCGACCACGGCATGGGGCGCCGCCATGTTCAAAATGACGCAACGAAAGAAGGGCCGTAATGTAATCGTGCTGCCTTCGGGAACTATCGGAAATAATGCAATTAAGACTAACAATATTAATACGACTCAATAATTCAGAATTTTCTGATAATATAAGTTTAACCGCATATTTTGGATGCGACGAATGCAAAGCCAGTGGATAGGATTATGGACTTGTGTTGTTTGTTTGTTTTTTTTGGCTCAAAATATTTGCTATTAACATGTTTCCACGTTGTAAAACTAGTAGCCTACATTTCCCCGTTATCCTTTCATCTACCACTTTCTCGAGCTGTGCGTGCTTCCTCGCCAAAGTAGTCACAATAACTACTCCTTCTCATTTGCTGTATCAGAAGGCATGCTTGTGAAGAAGACACGCTTCTTTGTGCAGATATCGATGGGTGCAAGTCACATAATAATACTCCACACCGGACTGTCATCCAGCTCTGTACCCTGTAATGGACTGCTTGACAATAAAATGACCTAATATTTTGAGGCTGCACCTCTACAGGTGTGCCGATGCATTTGATTAGGGCAGTGCTCAGGCCTATACACTAGAGGGAGACATATGCCACGATTGTCTCTCTTGTGGTTCACTGGAAGAAACACGAAACCCGCCCACATGAACGATGAGAATGCCTGGATGGACGTTTAGGGTCAACGATTAACTCATTAGTAGTACATTAAAATGTTTACCAGTCCTAACAAACAGACAGACAAAAAACAGTTTCTCATGTATTACTTGTGATGTTAAAAATTCAGATTCATTCATTATGCATTTGTGGATTGAGTTTTGTTTCCTGATTCACAAATGCAGAGGTTCCACCCTAGCACATTAGCCTTTTTCTCGCACCCTGGTAGCCACAGTCTATGCTATGTACATAGCCTACAGCAACTAGCCTATTTAACAACTTCATCTCTTAAGCCAAGATGTAGATTTACCGATACATACTTTGACAAAGACCAGTCAAATGTAAGTTACAATATTACTTTCACAAATTATAGCTTTTGCATGCTGCAAGATCAACCCTAAAATGTTATTTACTAGCTTGAGAACACTGATTAGTTGACCAGCTGTTTGTTATGATGAGTTTCAAGTCAGGAGGTACTCAACAGTTTCTGTCAGGAGGTACTCAACATCTGGAATGAGCTCTGACTCATAATGATGTAGCTACTTGGATGTTCTGCAGAAGACAGCAAGGATGTTACATACCAATGATCAAACACGTTAGAACAGTATGTAACAGTGAACCCTATGTTAACTTTAAGAGGCATTAAACATTTATGGTAGTTTCCCCAAGATCTGCATTGATATTATCCATTACAAATGATGCACATGTTTATAAAAAATATGAGCATATGGATGTACAGATAACCACACAAGCAGTACCAGTAATAGACTCCACATAGTTGCTGTAGTGTTACTTGTTTTACTTAATGTTGGCTTATAGGGAAGTTAGCATAGACAGTCCTAATGAATGCTCTTTTTTATTTCCAAGGTAAATTACCAACAAACTGTATACTAAAACAACTTGATATAATCCACTGTAACTGGATTAGGCTGTTGTGAACAGGCAATTGTGTCAGAGATATGTTGTGGGATGTAAAGGGTAAGTGCAAAATTAGACTTACTGGTAAAATAACTACTGAGGTTTGATCACATGGCCATGCTACAGGAAATATTCTGAGACTTAAGTGGTGATAAAATGTGGTCAAATGAATTTCCTGCCCATGCACACTGACATTCATTTGATTAGTAACGCTTACATATACTGAACTAGTGAATATTGAATTGAATGTAAGAACATAGCTAATCTTTGATTATTTCTTTCATGATACATCTGTGACATTTCTGAATAAAATAAGAGATAAATAAAAAATGTCAGAGTATCCACTCAAGTCAGTATTTAACATTTATGTTGAACCCTGCGTAAATGAACAATGTGTAAATTGTGTTATGTGAAAGCAAAAGATTTTGTGCAGTGTTTGATTAAAGTTCCAATCTCTCCTCCTCTCCGGCACTAAATTAGAACGTTTTTTGAGAAAATAATCTCTCTGTTTAGTGTAATGATTTCATTACTTTTACATTTACATTTAGATATTTTCATAGTGTTTCTGTAGCTAGCTTTTTTACTGAATGAAGCTGGGAGACAGAATGCAACATTCAGCTTCTCAATAAAATCACACAGGGCATCTGTGATATTTATTATAATGTTCATCCAAAATGTAATGCCAACCAATGTCACACAAAGTGAATAAAGAAAAGAGTTAGATAAGTATTTCTATTTCAGAGATTTTAGACAACTCATTGTTTGATTTCAGAAATATGAATCTCAAAAAAAACTTTCTTTTAGGTATTTTTAAGTCTGATCTTAATAAAGGGTAAAAGCAGTTTTGACATTTGTTTAAAGAACCCAAATGTAAAGCATCACACAAAAGTTGGTCAAGTCAGGTAAAATGAATCTTAAAGCATTCCCTACAACAAACTGAGAGAGCAAAAGCCCAGGCATCTTGTTGCAGAAATACTATCTATACAATGAACTTAAAGTCTTTTCTCCCATATAGAAGTTACAAAAGATCATGTTGGTTTCTTATTAACAATTGCAGGGCATTATGGCCAATATAATTTGATGTGCAATCAAATCTGCCCATATACACAAATAAAAATAATTCCATTTCAGTGTAACACAGTATGGCTTAAGAGAATATTGAAATAAATCAAACAATTTACATTTCAGCAACGGCAGGGCAGGCCATAATTGTTTCAAACAAATTTACAAACAAAATGAACAATAAAAAAACAAAGAAAACAAAAACAGGTGATGATGCAGAGATAAAGGAACATGTCAAAGTATTTATAAAGTAACATTGCTGAAATGCATTTCAAAAACAATATAGTCCACAAAAATCACTGTAAACCAAGTCAGCCTAGATGCTGTAGTTAAAAAGTTTTACTCCTTTTTACTGTAACTCAGCAGAGTGCTGCATTCTCATCTCATTACTACAATTAAATTTGTAATAGAAAAAAGTTATCGTTCAGGTACTTAACACCCCTTTTAGCGTGTTTTAATAATTTATAAAAATTCTATAGTACACATTTTACGTTTATCGATAAACTTTGCTGTGATTTGTTTGGAATTGCCCATTTCTATTTAGGAAAAAGGGAACTTCGCTCTGAAAGAGCAAATAACATTTTCAAAACACAAGGCTTAGGTGTAAATAATACATCAAACATGGTAAACAACACTGAAGAGGACCACAAAATGTCCATTCATTAATGTATTTTTTTTAGATGATAGTGATTCCTATTTCTACTTTAAAACATGAGCAAAACTAAAAAGCAATACTAAAGAATCTTGAACAACAAATAGGAAAGCCTCCTAAAAATACCACAAAGCAGCAATTCCTCGTACGGTAAACTGACAGTGTAGTTCTTTATGTTAATTAACTCCTTTCTGATTGTATAGTATTTAGTGCAGTCTGTAGGCATGACACAGTGAAAAATCAACAAGCATAACAGCAGGCAATCATCTGTGACTTGCATTAACAGTTTTAGTTATTTTTACAAAATGATGTTGTTGACAGCATTAACTACTTTTCAGCTACAGTAGCCGGTCACCTGACAGTGTAAAGGATCTTCTTCCCATCCATCTCTCTGCTACTACAATGCATCTCTGTCGTTGACCCTGAGTTTTCTCATTGTATTTAGTCGTTAGTTGACTCTGTATGCTACATTGGTGAAGGTGGAGGTGGCTCCTTTATACAAAGGATTGTGAGCCTGGGAAATTAAAACGGAGGAAATGCTGTTCAATTCAGTCCCACAGTGTTATTCAACTTTTTGAAGTTTAGACTTACCCCTGAATGGGAAGCTGTTAGTATGTGCAGTTAGTGTTTTAATTTGAATTATTTCTCACCGTATCCCATTTGGCTTTGGCTCTCTCCTCCTCAAACTTGGCGAACTCTCTGCGATCGTGGATGGTGACCAGCAGCTTCCAGATGAGAAGGCCAACAAGGCCCAGTAGCAGAATGGCTCCAACCACCGCCAAGAGCACCACCAAGATGTCTGGACCCTGAGGACACTCTGAAAGACGAGACAGGAAGAGTGGCAGAGAGGAAGAGAACTGATTTCCAACGTTGGTTTCCATGATGTTTGTAAAACAGTGGAGCATACTGTCAGCATCAGACACTCCAACGTGATTCAGTACATCAACACCACCATGTGTCTGAGTTTCTGTGGTGTGGCAGATAGCTGGGGTTCACTGGCTGATGATGTGTTTTTCACACTATACTGTCCTAATGTACCTAAATTACAATGCTCTGGCAGTTGAAACGTCACACATGCATACACACACGATCTTACAGTACCTGGCTCTTTTACCACAAGCAGAATGGATTTGCCACTTTCATCTTCGTAATACTGGAAGTGCTCCACGCAGTCATTTTCATCTTTGTAAGAGCAATTCACTGCATTCCCATCTTTGTCATGTAAAACTGGGGGATAAAGATGGATATTTTGGGAGTCATAATGAATGTTTCAAGGATCCAGGAACAGGAAAACAACAGTAATCATTATCACAACACTCAAGATCACTCTATATAGTAAGGACGTTAAAGATGGAAGCGTTCTTACCCAGTTCATCCACTAGTTTTATTTCATCTTTGCAGATTCTACTGCAGCTGTTGTCTTCAGTGTACCGTCCTCTCTTGAAGTGCCGACACTCAACACACTCCCTGCAAGCAGAGTCCCATACAGTTTCCTTTACACAATACATAGCGTGTATACTATTGATTGACTAAAAATTGTGGTGACCTGTTGACCTTTTATATGATGGTGATCACATCACTCTCAAGCCTAAATATCAACTTTGGATAAAAAGTTGACAAAGGAAATAAAAACCCATGGCCTTTCCTATTACGCTGCCATCAGGACGAACTTACCGTTTTAAGCCCTACAACTGCTAAGGCTTTAAAATGTTAGTTCTGTCTAAAACATGAATGTTGCAGAGTCTAGGAGATAAGACTTAATTCACATTAGCTATCTGTGTAATTTTTGTTTAGTTACTGTGAAAGTCTATTTATTTGTTTTTTGTCCATTCCCTCCTCTCTTTTGTCGAATCAAACACTAAGTTAGGAACTTACTTTTTTATAGTGCAGGAATCAGGACAGGTGGGGCATTTCTCACAGGTAGATCCGTAGGCACCAGGCTGTGTGCACTGACAAACCCCACACTCGCAGTTACCCCGGCCGCTG